AAAAACTGTTTTTGTTATAGTATGACCAGGTAAAATAAAAAGATCAGAAGTTTGATAAAATGTTAAATGTTAAATTTCAAATTAGCTGAGATCAGACCTGTAAAAATACGGGTCTTTGAAAGTCTATTCCAAACTGAACTTTTCTATACTTTTTCTCTATACATCTTAGCTTTCCGAATCTCTAAAATATGGGTCTTAACCAAGCCTACTATTTCTATCCATATCTATTCTCCACTGATTATTTATATACCTATTCCTTATTTAATTCAATACTTTTTAGTAAAACAATTTATTCTGATAAAAACATTCAAGAGTAAAAAACTTAACATGTGCACTTTTACGGCATATGTAGGGCTTATAAAAGACTTATAGTTAGGTTTATTTTTCTACTAAATGCATTTCATTTAATAGCTCAGTACATAAGTGCGCTGTCATCAGTTTTGTTTTGGGGGGTTTAAGACTTTCCCTCAGCGTAATAAACTTTGAAATTTTTTTAATAATGCTTCTATACTTATAATAAAAAAATTATGTAGCAAAAAAGATTTCTAAAATTTAAAATAAAATTTTAAAGTTTTCTCATTTTATAGATATATTATACGTGATTATCTTTATATAATACATCAACATATGCTAAAGATGTTTACACTTACTTACAAGGTTTGTATGTAATGCTATACAAATAAAACTAAGAAGATCTTAGACCACTAAAATGTACTCATAAAAAAAGAGTGCATTCTAATGATTATTATTAAAAACTAAAGAATAATACAGCCTTAGCTATTAAACGCCAATCAAAAAGTTAAGCCAAAAATATTTTGAGCATTGACGTCGGTTTGTGGCAAATACTTAAACCTTTATGCATCAAGTTTTTTTTTGCATCTTACATTTTTTGATTAATTTTAATTGTTGCATACAATTGCATAAAAATATATAAAACCAGCACAGATATCATTTCACGAATAAGAGATTTCACGGATAAGAGATAATATCACGGATAATATTTAAATCAAATTTTTTCTAGTTTGTTTTTCTAGTTTTTTGCCACAAAGTGTCGTCACATACCCAAATAAATTGTGGCTTCTACGATTTACGAAAAAGGCTCGTCTAGTATTTTTAAAAGTCTAGGAAGCAGATAGTGTAATTTTAGCAATCAGAAATTATCAAGAGAGGGGCAAATCTAAAATTGAAGTTTCGAATTTTCCACTTGGATGAAAAAATATGTTTTGTGTTTTTTCAATCAATTTTTTTTATGTATAAATAACATACATACAAAAAATCAAAACAAAACAGCTTGACTAAATAAGACTTGAAATTATTAGATAAGTTTTCTTATATTACATACGATCCTGAATAAAACTTTATATAAATAGATTTTTTACATTTTATAAACAATATACAATTAGCTTTATATTAAAAAGCGGTTTATAAAATGTTTCTTTGCAAACACCGATATAGTATACTTAAAATTTTTAAATGTAATGAAATGCAATTGCTTTTAATTTTTTTGGTTTCGTGGCATTTGTTAAGAGCTTTCTGCGTCAAATTATCTCATTTCAACATATTGGTTGTATCATCCATTCTGCAGCCGTTTTTCAAAACGCTTTATAGTAAAAAAATCAATTTTGACTTTTTTACAAAATAAGCTAGTTTTGATGTCTACAAACATTATTAAATACATATATTTTAAAGAGTTCTGAAAATATTCTAAAAAAGTAATAATTTCCAAAAACGTATAAAAAAAAATTTCTCTTAATGATTTTTTTTTAATTGCATTTTTCTCGAAATACGTAATAAGCATGTTAAGGCATTTTGAAAAATGGCTGCAGCATATATTTATAGTAAAAAAATAAATGTGCAAAAAAAAAACTTTTAATTGTCAAAAGAAAGTTTTAAAGTTTTTCTAGCTACAGGTTTTTTTTTTTTTTTTTTTCGCCTCCACAGCAGCATCTTGTTAAGTTTTTTCTTCATTAAGTTTCAGACCATCCGCAGCTTATTAGGACTAATTACCTGAAGACATTAATAACATAAGTGTCTCAATTATCATACATACGCAAAAAAAATTTTCTTCCAGTGATTTTTTTTTTTTTTTTGATGTTGTATGAAATTTTAGCTTTCTTAAAATCTTTTCTTTTGTGAAAGTGTATAATATTGTTACATTACATAGTTTGTATAGAATTCTTATAAAACTTCAAAAGTATCTTGTATTTTAAAATAATTGAAAAAAATTAAAAAAAAAAAAGTTGCCATTGGTAGGAATTGAACCTCGGCTTCAGAAGCTCGGCGCCTTATCAACTCGGTGACACTGGCACATATTTTTAAAACAATGTAATGATTTTTTTAAAGGAAAAAATGTTATAGATCAAAATTAAGGAGAGCTTGACACAATGCAATTTTCAAGTGAAAATCAAACTGTAAAACTTGATAAATATTTCGATATGTTTTAACCTTACTTAATTTAAAGTTTAGGTACGTTAGATTTTTGGATACGCGTTCCTTCACGTTTTCTTATAAAACAAAGTGCTGCGACTCTTTCTTGCCACTACCTGGCTCGCAATGATTGCCAAGGGTACCGTGTCAAACAGGCTCGAAAGCGCACTACTACTACTAGCACTACTATTAAGTTTGGCAATAATATATAATAGATTCTTTTTTATTTTTTTTACCAATCCACAAATGAGGTCAAACTGATTAAAATTGATTTCACTGATTTTAATCTTTGTTTTTTATCTCAATTTTATTTCGTTTTTTTTTTTACTAATATGCAAATTATATTTATTTTATAATTGTATGATTGGATAGAAATAGAAGTCTTTTTCAACCCTTTGAGTTCTTAACTACAATAATGCAATTTATAGTTCTATATAAAACAGATAGCAAGTGACTGGGGCCCTGGCCCCGGCTAAAAATTAGACTTATTGCAAATTGGGCCCCTGCAAAACTATAAGATTAAGCAGGGGTTGATAGCTATGGCTAGCTATATTTTATCAAACCTGGCTGCGATTCTGGTCAAATATCAACTACAGTCGTATACTAAAAACAGGCTTAAACAATTTCACAAGTCCATAATGATTTATAACATATTTAAATGAATCATTTTTATCAATGTAAAGTAAAATTATATCTAAATGTTATTATATCTAACAACCAATGATATATAAATAAACTAGATGTCTAACTTGCTGAATTTTATTGAACAAAAAAGGAAGCCACTTTTATTTTTACAAATTTAATCCACCATTTGTAAAAAAGGCAAAATATTATATAGTTAATATTGTGGAAGCTATTCAAAGGTTCGAGTGGTAGGATTTCAACCATGGTGCTTTACTTCAGAAATTCTGCAAACTATAATCTCTGCAAGTGCTGCAACTCTTTCTTATCATAACCTTGATTGCAATGGCTGCTAAGGGTTCTGTGTTAAACACACTTGAAAGGGCACTACTACTACACTACACTATTACTACACTGCTTCTACTACTAACTACTACTGCTACAATTTTTTTAATATTCGACATTTTCAGGGATTATCTTTTTCCGGATATTTCCGAAATTCCTGATATTTTTTCAACTTTTAGTTTTTCCGGATATCCAAAATATTTTCAATACATGCAAGTTGAGGTATATACTTTTGTATTATATTTATTTTTTAAGCTTTTTCACTCATCACTTAAAAAAAATTATAAAAAGCAACAAAAAAAATTAGAAACAACTTAAAAAACAAAATTAAAAAGAAAATAAGGGAAAACAAATTCCGCATTTTTTCCGGATGTTTTTTCCAAACCATTTTCCGGATTTTTAAAATATGACTAGGATAATCTATGAATTTTAATTATTTTTTTTTTTTAAATTTAAAAAAGTAAACCATAAAATAATGAAAAAAAAATATTGATGAAAATTAAGTTTGCTCCCATTAAATACCCCTGGGTCAATTTACCCCAATAATGGGGTACATTTGCCTAGGAGATATCAGAAAAAAAAGCGGACCAATGCGTCTTGGTCTACCCTAATTTGTAAATAAATTTAATTAGAAAACATAAATTAAAAATTATAATTTTTAAAGTTGTACTGTCAATGTAATTTGTTTATGGAAATGTAGTAGAAACTGAATTTAAATCCAACAGCTAATGGAATGATTCAGTAATTGAAAAAATCTTTTTATAATTGTAAAGATTTTTAACTTTTTTCATTTATTATTTAAAGCTGAGGACAACACTCTTGCTTCATTTTGCAGTTTTAAGGTGAATTTTACCAAGTAACATGTTAGCTGCACAGTGTTATTTATTTTTTTTCATAAATGTTATTTAAATTTGTAAATTGAAAATTAAAAGTTAACAAATAAACAATTTTCTATGTGTTTTTTTTGTTTGTTTTATTCAAGCCAAATCAAGATTTTTCTTGAATACAATGCAGTTACTTCAAACTGTTTTAGATAAGTTCAGTTAAGTTTACCTCTTATCAAAAAAACTAAAGTTTTTAATAACAATACAATTTTAATAAAAAATTTTCTTTAACTTAGTCTCATTAAAATTGGTAGAGTAGAGGTAGAATTTATTATTCAAATTTTGTTTTTTAAAAGTTTTTATAATTCAAATAGGTTTTCAGATTGCCAGTAAATTTAATTTTTGTAAATAGAATGTTCATCATTCAAGACAAGCTTTAATTAATCATTGAATATTTAATGTTCTGTTTTATATGCTTTTTTAATAATATTTTGTTTGCATTAATTTTATGTTTTAGTTAATGTTATTTAAAACTATATGTTTTACTTAATTGAGTTGTTTAACTATTTCAACTGAATTTTGAGCTAAAAATAAACTAAAGACAAGGCCTGTGATTTCAAAATAAATTAAAAGTTTCAGTTGAAATTGACACTGTAAACATGTTTGTATGAAAAAAAATAATGATTTATTTAAAACATTGCAAATTTGCTTTCAATTTTACAAGTTTCTGAAAATTTCTAAAGGTTTATATATGTTATGAATATATATTTTATGGTTTTACAGGAAAAGACTGACAAAGATAAATATGCAGAAATAAAGAAGTAAGTCAATAAATAGCTTAAGAATTGATTGAATTTATAAGTTTTTTTTTGAATTATTTCTAAAAAAGTTTTTTTTTTTAAATAGTTTTTAATAGTTTAGATAATTAGATAAAAATGTTAAATATAATATATTCTTTTATAGGTACCAAGTTGAATGTGACAGAAAAAGGCATAAAGCTTATCTTGCATATCGTAAGCTTTACATTTATGTTTGTTTTTTTAATCCCATAAAATGTTGCACTTAATAATATCATTTAGAATAATTAGGATGGAGTAAACCTTAAGTGTGTTCTAAAGTTTAAATTAAAAAAAAAATTCTAAAGTTTAAATTAATAAAAAAATTTATTCCGAAACTATTGATACATGGTTTTGACAATTTCCTGGTCAGTTGTAAATTAAGTTAAAGAATAATATTAAAAAGAATAAATAGTTGTGTTGAGTTTGATTTGATTACACTTTAATAAAATAACTATTATATGTTCTATTCGAAACATACAATCATGAACAAAAAATGTGACCACCTCAAAATTTTTACAGTTACAAAATAAAATATAGGCTAATAAGTAAAATATTTTTTCAGAAGAAACAGTATTTTTTTAATTAGAAAAGTTTACTTTATTTTTCATATACAGTATCCAAAGTCAAGAATAAAAATGTTTGAGTAATATGAGATAAGCGACATTAAATTTAGATAAATGCTTTTCTATCCAAGAGAATACAATGTGTTTTATTTGGTAATGCTGCATCCAAATAGGAACAGGTTACTCATTCTGCAAGTTTCAGTTTTTGATCAAACACTATTTTCAGTTTATATTAATGATTTGTCATTTAGCAGCAAAATGTATGCAAATGATAAAAAAGTCTTCAATGTAGAAAACTCTTTAAAAAACAAACTTAGTCTGCAAGCTCACATTGATAATTTTCAGTCAGATTCACATATGGTTCATCCAACTTTACATTATAAAATGTAAGCTTATGCACATTAATCAATCCAAATTTTTCTCTCACATCTCTTCGGTTTATGAAATTGACTCAAAAGTCAAACAGCAGAGTCAAAAGAACAAAGATAAACACAAAAGCATTTCGAAAAAATGACAATATTTAACAATATAATGGTCTAAAGTGTCAAGTGCTTATCAGTGCTGCTAAGACTAATTTTAGGTATTTTAAAGCACACTTTTGTTAGAACAAGATATAAAGGTCTAAAAAAACTATATCAACTTATAACGCAACAACTTATAATATGTCCATATCTGAAATATACTTTCAGTGTCTGGTGCCCTCACTTAATTCCTTAACAGTTAATGATGTATATAAATGCAAGACAAAAGTATCAAAATACAGAGCCTATATCTGTTGTTGTTCCAACTTGTGGAACAACAAAAAACTTCAAAAAAACCTAAAGGTATTGATGATATATAGACAAAAAATAATGGCAATAAGGGGAACTCTTTTCACTTTAAAGAGCCTAACCATTGCTGTTATAATATACATAGTATATTATAACAGATTAATAGGTTTGTTATAATATACATAGTATATTATAACAAACCTAAACCTAATAATCCACAAAAAGAATCATTAAGTGTTTTGCCTTGTTTTGAAAAATATCACTCTGTATTAAGATATTGATTTTAGGAAGTAGATTTAGTTTTATAATTGATTTAGTAATGCTTTTTATGTAATTTCTTTTTTATATGCTCTACCTAATACTTGTAATTTTAATTAACCTGTTGCTGGAGCTATTGCACACAAAAATTTGGTGAAGATTAAGTAGTTAAAAAGATATTAATGCAAATGAAGGTACAAACTGTTATGTCACTAAAATACTTCAAGAATTAAAGTACTTAGACTACAAGACAGGATGGGCTAAATTTGGCTTTACTTCACTTATGAGAAAACATGATGGTCTCATACTTAACTTTTTTTAATTAGCTTAGCTTTACTTCATTTATGAGAAAACATGATAATCTTATACAAAGCCCCAAATATTAAAGCCAAAACTGAGTTAATTAATTAGTATAATGACCCAAAATACACTATTTTAATCAATTGCAAAAGCTTTAATTTCCAAAAATAATAATTGCCTTCAATTTTATTTTTGCACTAAAATTACTCTAAATACATTGCCAAATGAAGTTGTCAACCTCTATAATTAACACATCCATCAATTTTATTGTATTGCTGCAACTATACAAGCTAGCTTGATAGATTATAGTATAGCTGCAGTTCATTTTTGTAGACATAGACAGTTCATATCTATTCTGTGTAACTTTGATTACATTTTTTTAAATCACAACACAATTTTTTACAATTAACTAAGAAATTAAATGATAATTAAAACAATAAATTTATCAAATTTAAATTTTTATTTCTTGCAATTTATTCTATATTTTATTTTTTGCAATTTATTTTCTATTTTTATTTTAAGTAATTTTTTTTTTTTTTTTCAGAATCGCAAAAGATGAAAGAGGTAGAGTTTGTTATTTGCATTTAATTATTTTCACTCTTTTTTATAAAGTTGCTTTTAATAGAAAATTTGAATTATTTTTATATAATAGCTGTTCATTTAAGTTAATTGTCTTGTAGAAAATTGTCAAGAAAGTTAAGTCTTGTAGAATAGGGAGGCTACTCTCCTTTTTCTTTTTTTTTTGTTTTTTTTTTTAATTATTTTTATATTTCCCTCTCTCTCTTAAACCTAACTTTTAAAACACAAACCTTGTTAAACCAGACCATTGTGGCTATGCAGATCTTTTTGTTATTTCCTAATTAGAGTACAGCTCTTAAGATTTTGAAATTAAAAGAATCGAAATTAAAAGTAGTTAAGTTACTGTTAGTGTTAGTAATTAAATTACAAACAACTACCGGAAATATGTTGTTGCTATGCTATGCAAAGTAAGGTATCCATAGCAATGACAAAAATTAACCTCAAGAATTGTGAATCTCATTAATACACACGCCCAATATTGTGTACATAGCACAAATAAAATGCTGTTAAAACAGTGCTAATGTAAAAATGAGTTGCTTGCTATGCAAAATTTAGTACCATAGCAACTAAGTTAAAACATATAAAATCTGAATGGGGATTTAAGGAGACAAGCAATCAATTAAAATTTGATTGAAGTATCATATAGCTCAAATAAATATAAGACATCACATGGCAAATTGTGATTATTAACAGTGCGGCAAAAAAAAAAATTTATCAAAGATTTTTTTTTTATTCTATCATTTTCAAAATATAACTGAGGTAACATGCTATGACAAATTTATTTCACACATTGGTTTTTCTTATCTTTAAATACTCTAAAATAACATGTACTAATTTTTTGTTTTTAAAACATACATGTAATTGAAATATCATACAATGTTGATGTCACAGAAATTTCTTATATATATATATATATATATATATATATATATATATATATATATATATATATATATATATATATATATATATATATACATATATATATATATATATATATATATATATATATATATATATATATATATATATATATATATATATATATATATACATATATATATATATATATATATATATATATATATATATATATATATATATATATATATATATATATATATATATATATATATATATATATATATATATTAATAATAACTGCTGCATTTTAAAAATTCAACCTAATGAAAATAAGGCAATATGCATAAACATAAGAAGTGTAAGTAAAAATTTCAACAAACTAAAGGTTTACTTATTTAAATGACTTAATAAATATTAATAAAGTTGTCATACTAAAGTAATTTTTTAAAGTTGATCTTGTGGAAAAAATTGTTATTGATGTTTAAGTTTCATAAATGTAATGAAAAATCACGCAGGAATAATACCACCAGTTTTTTAAAATTGCCTTAGTTAGTTACTCTTAATGAATGACTTAAATGCTTTTGCAATTTTTTTGTTATGTAACTCTAAAAAATGTAAATCTTAATAATTGATATAAAAAATCCACAATAATAATCACTCGATAATGTAAGTGATGTAACCTAAGTTAAATATATATTATCAAAAAAACAAGTTTATTTTCCTTAGCTGGTCACCTCTGATAAATTTTTATATATTTTTTAAATCGGTATAGAGTTCTAACCATCTTGTAAAAGTTTCCAATACAAACCACTTTACTGGTTCGCAGAAATCTGACCTAAAGTTGAATCAATTTTTTTACCTCGTTTTCTGTGTAAGTGGCATTTTCAAACTAAATGAAACCAAAAATCCAATTGAAACCAAAATGTTTTTTAACATTAGAACCGATAGTTTTTTTATGAAGAAATTAATTTTAACGTTTTAAAAGATTCCTTAAAAGTTTTAAAACCATTGTTGTTAAAGATTAAGAATAATTCAACAACATGACCTTTTTTCACATGTTTTTCTATGGAAATTATTACAAAAAATGTTTATTTTGAACCCCAATTCAAATATGTTACAAAATAAAGATGGCAATAAGTATTTGTGAAAATCGGAATTAATTTAATATTCTAATAACATAAACAAATGAAATTTCGACAAATGTTTGGATAATGTCAATGTCAAATGATTGGATGCAGAAGTTGCTAAAGAAACCAATAATAACTTGAAAATTAAGTTGCAACAATCCCAAAGAAGTTTCGTTGGGCTCTCCAAAATAATAAAATATTTTTTTCATTTTGTATGTTTCATATGTAACCAAATTCAGATAAATATTAATGGTATGAGGTAAACATGGTTATCATTTTTGACTAATAATTTTTATGTTTTTTATGTATGGTTTTTAATAATCCTCAAATGATAAACTTCAGTACAACAAAATGTAAGTAAAATGTAACAAAATGTAATCTTCACCTTAGTATAGCTACATATTAATTTGATAAAAATTAAAGTTTCACTTGCACAAAATTAAAACATTTATCAATGTCTTCATAAGTTTTGAAGATGTTTATCTTGTTTTTAGAGACATTTATTGCAATAATTTACAATCATTAGTTTTATTTAAGGGCCCATCCATTAAGGACATCATCCAAGTAGGGGGGGGGGGTAGGGGTCAAGATAAAAAAGACAAAAAAGGACAAGGAGAGGGGGGAGGTTGTCAGAAAAGGACGCCACTTTATAGATTTTTTATTTTAGTTTAATTAACATGAAAAACTATGTAAATATGTGTTTTTAAGAAGATAATGTATGAGAATATTTTTAATTTTGTTTTTTCAAAGGTGTAGCAGCAGATTCAAACATTATTGCGAGATGAAATAGTTTTTTGGGGGGTTTAAAATAGGGGGCGGTTCAGGATTTTATGACGTCCTTTTGAAGGGGGATATAGAGAAAAAGGACAACCAGTGACAAAGAAGCTTCATTTCCAAGCCCCTAACCACTCTTTTTGTTTAGATTTTTTTAAAGCAAATTTTTCATGCAATTGCAGTAAATTTTGCTTTTTTAAATTTGTTTCAAATTTTCTCCTATATAGACCATTCCCATGTTTCAAATATTCTCCTATATAGACCAATCCCAATCACCACACATGTCACAACACACATAATAACACACACAGCACACATAACAACATCCAACATCCCTATTAACTGTGTAAAAGATGAACTGATAGATATCTTGACTAACCTCCCTATGCAAAATTATGATGTAACTATCATTATTAAGCTGTAACTATGATTGTTATGCTGTAACTATGATTGTTATGCAGTAACTATGATTGTTGTTTTAGTTTTCTTTTTATTACTTATTTCTCAAATTTAAATTTACTGTTCATAATTGTTTTATACAATTATCAGAATGGCAATAAAAGCATATTTATGTTTGTATTTTATGTTTGTTTTTGTTATAGTGAAAAGTGGTAATCTTAAGTTGTATTTGTAGCTGTCTATATAAATATATTATAGTGTGAGATTTTATTGGTAATTTTATCATCTCTTTTGTCAATCAGTTTGAATTAAACACTTTCTAATCAATTGTTATTTTGAATAAAACAATTTCTAGTTGATTGATTTGTTTTTAGTGATGCTTGAGTTTCTGTATGATTAGTTATAATAGCATTTTTATATGGTTCGCGACTTGAGAGAAAAAAAATAAAATGTAAAAAATAAAATAAAGATATTTTAATAAAGTTTTCAAATATCTTACCTGTTAAAGTTAATTTTTTAGCAAGATGAAGAGAATCGTAAAAAAGAAGCCGAAGAAGCGAAGTTCTCACTTGCAGAAGTAACGCTTCCACAAGGTAAGTTTTTTTTATCAAAATTAGTTCTGTATTTGAAAAAAGTTTTTTAAAAGGATTATAGCAAATAAAAATGCACAAACTGTTTAAAAAGTATATTAGTTTAGTATACTTTTCATTAAAAGTCTACTAAGAAATTAGTTACTATCTATTAAAATAGTAGTTGTTTGCACCTCCATTTACTCCACATACCTCCACTATTCCTTTAATGTTAATCATTATAATATCAATCTATATAAAATACCAAATCAATATGTGATCCAAATCAATTAATTATTAGTACAATAATTCTTTAAGATACAACCCTCGGGATTTGGAAAAATAAGGTTAGCAAAATATTGCTGATTGTTTTGCCATTTTATTTTAATTATTTTATCAAGAATTTAAAAAAGTATTTTTTTTTGTTTGTTTTTTTTTTAATTTTATTTAGAATTTAATTAAAATTTCTTTTTTTGGTTTTGTATTTTATAATAAGTTTGTAGTCATAACTTTATCTTCCTAGTTTTCTATGACAAGATTTTTCATTTTTTGAAATAATTAAGTAATGAACTTCAAAACAATACGCATTGTGTGATGGCTGTAAAGCTTTTTTTTAATACACTTTGTTAACATTCAGACTTTAGATAAAATAATAAACTTCAAACCTATTTTTTTTTTTTTTTTTTTAATAAAAGATTGTTTATAATAATAAGAAATTTTACATTTATTTTTTTTAGGTGCTCTTGCTCCACATGACATTCCAATGCCAGTAATGATGACTTCTATTCCAAAGTAATATTTTTAAGGTGTTTCAGTGTTATTATAATGATGGCTAATATAATTACAAATTTTATACCCTTTACTACTACCATTATGGTACCATTACTACCATTATGGTAACAAACTCTATATTTTTTAACACTTATCGATTGGTGGTTAAGGGTATAGGGCTTTTACATTAGGAGATAAAATTATATATATATATATATATATATATATATATATATATATATATATATATATATATATATATATATATATATGTATACATATATGTATACATATATATATATATATATATATATATATATATATATATATATATATATTTATTTATATATATATATATATATATATATATATATATATATATATATATATATATATATATATATATATATATGTATACATATATATATATATATATATATATATATATATATAGTATATATATATATATATATATATATATATATATATATATATATATATATATATATATATATTTATATTTATATATATATATATATATATATATATATATATATATATATATATAATATATATATATATAAATATAAATATATATATATATATATATATATTTATATATATATATATATATATATATATATATTATATATATATATATATATATATATATATATATATATATATATATATATATATATATATATATATATATATATATATATATATATATATATATACATTTTATTCGTTTTGAGAAATTTAATTTTTAGTTTTAAAACCATTTTTTAATAATAAGTTGATAACAAAATGACTTTTTTAAAATTAATTCCACATTAGTAACTATTTCAATAAGGTAAAATGAAGGTGTATTTATTTTGGTTAAGAAAATACAAGTTTTATTACTTAATATTTGAAACGTTTTTTCCCTTTTTCTTTCATATTTATTCATAAAACCAGAATAGAATATAGATTTTTGCAATATTTTTATTTTCTTTTATTATACTACCTTCTTTTCATCAAAAATGTTGGGATATTTCCAATGCTAAATGATAATTAGGTTGTCCGCAATTTAGCGCAATTTAAAAATTCTGTCATTGTTCTATATAACTATGCTTAACAATGTTTGAATTCCCTTTATTTAATATAAATTTAGAATTTCAATTCTTATAAATTTTATTACATAAAACTAAAACTTAATTTTCAAAACACTTTCAAAACAAATAACAAAACAAGATTTTTTTTCAAACAAAAAATTTTTACAAAAAATATATATATAAATTTATATAAATTCATAATCTTCATTTTTGTTTTCATCATATGGCAGCGAATCAAAAAAATCAGGGTTGTTTGTAAACTTTTTAAGTACCTAAAGATCTTTAAATTTAGCTATTGATATACACAGTCTCAGTATACAAGTTTAAAGGGTTTTCTAATATTGGCAGTTTTCTTTTTCTTCTTACATTTCGACTGATGGATATATTTAAATATTCACCATTCCAACATTCTCTATAAGACATTATTCTAGGAGAATTAATAGAAAAAAGCACTTCTCGAAGAGCTCTTGTAGCTACAGGACATGCAGCTTTGTAGAAAGGATTTAAGAAATGAGTCATATATTTGAACATGTCCTGGTTTGGTTCAAGTACATGAAATGGAGTCAGGTTTTTGGGAGCATCTTCAAATATTTTAACGCAATCAGAAGGTATATTAACTTGAGATTTGCAGTTAATGAGACACATATCTTTGTCATATAAGAATGCCCCCTTTCAGGAAAGTTAACTTTAATGGAGTCAAATCTTTTTTAGTTTTGAATCATATAATTAAAAAACCTAAAGACTGTATAATTTTTATTTTGGCTGGCACAAGAATCACAGAATAAATTTATATTTTTGACTAATGGACTTAAATGATGAATAAAAAAATCATGCAGTATTGATGTCACTTCATCTGCACCCTTTTTTGCAACAGTTTCGTCAAAACTATAGATAAAAACATCTTTATTTGCTAACAAATGAATGTTGAAAGAAAAAAATGAAAGTTTTCTCTTATAAGAAAAATCATTGCTAGAGTTATTTGGCACATTTAAATTTTTTTGATAGTCAAATGTAATGGCTTCAAAGTTTTGCTCTCTCAACGCTTTCAGTCTAGCTTCACTTTTTCTTCTATAAAAAGTTTCAGCCTTTTTTTGGTGAAAATCTCGTTCAAAATCCAACTTTTTAAATTTAATCTTCAAATCTTGTGCTTCAGGATTAGCTAAGATATCTTTAGAACAAGTATCAATTCTAATTTTTAGTTCGTCACACATAGAACATGTGTCTGTTCGAGGATAACCAAAAGCAATATTAAACTCATTGTTAAATACTGTTCTATATGACTCATAACAAATCTTTACATTTGGGTGAAGAATAACAAACATGTTATACATTTTATTTATATTCAGTTCCTCAGGTAAATAAATGTGTCTAGTTTTCTCTTGAGAATAGTGAGATCGCCTTCCCCTGAATGATGAAATATGGGTTATTACTTTTTCTCGCACATCATCTGTAATCTTATGTGGCCTAGTACAATGTTTTCCTCTCATATCTTTTGGTGGTTCAAGTAAAATGATATTGTTAAGTTTCATTTGTTGTAAAATCAATGTAAATTTTATTCTAAAAATAACATTTTTCACAATGTTGCCTTTTCGAGCTAATAAAATAATTATGTTTCTATATAAAATTGCTATATACTAAAACACTGCACTCGTAGTTGAAATACTTCTTTTATTGTTTCCACTCTACCTTTGTTAATACCAAATATAGAAATAAAGACTTTAAAACACACTCAAACAAATTGAGATTTACCATTGTTTTCAAACATTTCATTGTTTTTATATTGGTAGCTAAAACTATTATTTCTGCTTGCTTTATATTTATGTGGTCTTCTTCTTTTTATGCTGGTTACCGTTATAAGTCCAGCAAGAAAAGA